ATTGTTATGAATGAATACAGCGTGTTTCTTCATTCCTGTTTCTGTGAATGTTTCAGCAACCTCCTCCCCTGATAACCTCTGAAAGAAGGTCCTGTCATGGCTCTCCCCACAGAAGCTGCCAGAAACGTGGGTTGTTGAGAGCAGATGTTCCCTAATATTTCCACAAATATCCTTTAAGCAAATTCCAAGTAACAGTGAGAGTCAAGAGGGCAGAGTTTGAAGAAGACTAGTTAGCACAGGGCGTGAATTCTTCCCAGATCATGGAACAGGATTCTTCCAGGGAGTTTCCTGATTTTTCTTATCCCTACCATACAGCACTGGCATATAGGATCCTATGAATCTTAATTCCTTACTTTGTAATTAATCTAGAAAATATATGTAATGAATTGAGTGTAAATGTAGCAGGTTTCTATTGCAAAACTTTGGTTTGATTTTTACAGGGAATAATCTGCTCTGTTTTTAAAGGAATGAAGATTAAACCTGGATCAATGGGGAAGGCAGCTCCCCTTTATGATGTTCAGGTTTGTTTACTGCTCTTCAGATTCTGTCACAAGGGCTTTTTGTTTATTTGGGGTTGGGTTTAGGGTTTGTTTTCCCACTGAACTAATATACATGTTGTTTTTCATTCTAGATCGTAGACAAAAATGCTAATATCCTGCCTCCAGGACAACAGGGAGAAATTGCTGTCAGAAGCAAACCTATAAGACCGCTTGGTTTTTTCTCTGAATATCTGGTAAGGACTTTATTTTATTCCTTACCACCACCAATCTGCTCCAAAATCTCTCCAGTTGCATAGTGGTTCAAAAGGCTGAATATTTTTCACTAGTTTATTATTTATTACCACAGTAGTTTGTTTATTTGGATTGGTGGATGTTAGAAAAGGGAAGTGAAGAATTTGCTCAAGATTGAGTTTAATTTTTTTTAAAGAATAACAATTATTTTAAACATATTTTATTGTATTTATAGCAATATCATATAGCAAATATTTCACAAATCCTAGCCATGATGATGATGATAACAGTATCAATACAATTCTTACACATCCTTGACTGAAAAATTAAGCTCCAGTGTATTTGACAGTATGTGCATTATAGCATAATAAATAGCTAATTCATGCTCAAAATCTAAACTACTGTTTGTAAACCACTTTAAGGATAACCCTAAGAAAACTGCAGAAACTGAACGTGGGGATTTTTATGTCACTGGAGACAGAGGGACTATGGATGAAGATGGGTATTTTCAGTTTATTGGAAGATATGATGACATCATCATTTCTTCAGGGTCAGTCTGCACACTTCTCTCTAAATCTGCCATTGTATCATCTTACATGTCATGTTCCTAGTGAGCTTCTGACATAATAATCCTGTGATGAATGTATTGACCTCTTGATTTAGGAATACTTACTTTTATTATTAGCTTTTCAGAGACCTGCAGTATCATCTTGGTGATATCAGTGGCATCTCTGTATCCATCTCCCCTGCAACATCTCCTCTGTTTCAACAAAGAATGAAGACTTACAACTGGCTGAGGAGGGATTTTTATCTAGTTCATTTTTGACTAAAATTGAAGGGCATCTCTATTGGATTCAAAGAGCATTTGAAGCACTTTAACATAATAAAATGATACAATTTCGTATTATATGATGGGATACCATAATGTGGCACCAGCTGCTACTGCAGATCCCAGCTATCAGTGGGATGGAGCTCCAGATTAGGAGCCCCGAGGAAAGGGGAGAGATGGAGAGGAATCCACAGCCCCAGCAGTCCTCTACAACATGAGCACTCTGAAATGCTCCTACTTTCTAACACAACCAGCTTTCCCATTTTGGCTGAAGTTTCTATAGTTGGTTGTTAATTTGTTCTGGTTTGGAGGGGTTTTTTCTTCAATAGTACAATTAAAAAACATTTGGTACTTGTTTTCCACTTAAAAAAAGCCAAATCCTGTTTTATTTTTCCTTACTAGGTATCGCATTGGGCCATTTGAAGTAGAGAGTGCCCTGATAGAGCACCCAGCTGTGGTAGAAGCAGCTGTTGTCAGCAGCCCAGATCCCCTCAGAGGAGAGGTAATGATGCTGAGTGGTGGAGGAGGAAAGCAACGTGTTTGTCTAAACATATGATGACATAAAGAAATTTCTACTGAATAATGTACAGCTGTAAGGCAGTCATGTCATCTTAGAATCAAGGAATCCTTTAGGTTGGAAAAGACCTCTAAGATCATTGAGTCCCAGCACTGCCACATACACCACTAAACCATGACCTTAAGCACCTCATCTACTTGTATCATGCATAATCCTACTTGGGGTGACAAGCAAAATCCCTTCCCATTTACACACCTTTGCTCTTCTGAGTTTCTTTTGATCCCAAGAAGGTCTCCTTTGTGGAGAATATTACAGTGATGTTTACTTTCTCCTTGTTCTTAAGCATTTTTCTGTACACTGAAATTGTCATTTATGACTGTCTTGGTGTAGCCAAAGTTATACTGAACTGCTCTGGCATTAGACTTGGGCTGCAGGGGTGGTGAAAGCACAGTCCTGTGCTGGGATAATAGGGCTTACTGTCCTCAGTGTGAACTTCAGAAAGAAACAAATTGTCCCTTAGCCTTGGGGAGAATTCTACAGAGACACCTTTTGTTGCCCCTTCCTCTCGCTGCTGAGAGGAAACAGCAAAGGCTTTTGCTTTGTAACGAGGGTAGGAAAGCTGTGCTTTCAACTTTCCCTTCTGCATGAGCATGTGCAGAAGCTGGGCACAATAATTTCTTACAGTGTGCTGGTTTCCCTGTTCCTCCCTTTTGAATGTCATGACTCGGAGCAGCACTGCTCCCTGGTAACCTGTATATCAGCTCTTAAAAATGGACCACATCAGACCACTTTTGTTAATCTTATCTTACAGGTTGTGAAAGCATTTGTGATTCTGTCACCAGCCTTTTCATCCAGTGACCTGAAGAGCTTAACCCAGGACTTGCAGGACCATGTGAAGAAAACCACTGCTCCATATAAATACCCTAGAAAGGTAAATGCTTTTGAGGAGAAACTTTAAACCAGGACACCCTTCCATAAGTCTCAGGAGAATTACTATTTACATTTTCATGATTCAGCTGAAAGAGAGAGCAGTAAAGATTCTTCTAGACCACTGGCTGCAGAAGATCTTTCCTAAATAATACTAGTTCACATTGATTTTCATGCATTTGAGTAAAGTGTTTGTTTAAATATCTCAAAAATTTCTAGGCTTCGTACGTCCTTAGTTAGAGCTGCATGTTCTAGGTCAGACTCACAATCATAATTCTCTATTTTGTATTTAATCTTCAACCAAGCACTCACTAGTGCCTTTAGGGGAGCACATGACTGAATCTGAATAAGCTTTTATCTACTGCTCCTCACAGTTAATAAATAAGAGGCAAAGAAGTGGTTTCACAAGTGGCACAATGTGCTGCCTTGATTTGGCTTGGACATGATCCTTTAGGCAGGCAGTTCTTACTGACAGGAGTCCTCTCAGTTTTCCACATATGCTGAGAGCTGGTCATGGAAAACCAACATGGTAGAACATGCTACATTGTTTTCTCTCTTTATTTTATTTAGGTGGAATTTGTCCAAGAGCTGCCAAAGACAATCACTGGGAAGATCAAGAGGAATGAATTAAGAGACAAAGAGTGGGGACGGATGTAGCATTTAGGAATTTAACAAAACTTCTTTCATTCCATTAGCACTATATAAATTTCACTAATGTAATTGCCCTCATTCTGCCCGCTTTTTGTTAAATACCTGAGCACCAAAAACTACAGATAACACCAAGATGTGATATTTGTGCTTGCTTGCAAAGTTTCTAATGTCAGTACTTGAGTGGATTGTATTATTCTGGCTGAAAAATAAATTTTTCAATAGACTATTTCAATAGCCTTTTCCTTTGAGACCTTCTCTCCATCCCTCTTACAGCCCAGCTTCTATTTGATGTTATTCTCAAGAGACAATAGAAAAGGTGATACCTGCATCAGAAAAGGTATTCTGTATCAAATATATTTTGATGCATTATTTCCTAAGAGTTTAATCACCACGTGGGAAGGGACTGAGGTGGAAAACTCCAGCCTGCAATGTGGCTCTAGTGGAAGGGATACCTGGTAAGATCATGTTGCAACCTCATGAGATAGGAAATGTTGACAGACTCTGGGCATTTAAAAAAAAAGAGGAGTTCCATTTGCTGCAACTTCTGCTGCTGAAACTTCTTGTCAGAGTGTGCCTCAGGCTGGAGAGGGAGACGTCATTACTCATTTTTACTAAGAATGAATCTGTATTACCAAGAGATGCGACTTCTCCTTAGACCAATCCATTTTGTACCATGGATGGTTTTGACAAAGTATTTGCTCTTTTGGGGGAAAAATCTGCATCCTGATATTTTTACTGGACTGTCGAGCACCATCAGAGTGTGCAAGAAATGTAACACTGACAATCTGACCTCATGCTGACTCCATAAGTAAACACAGCTGAATGTCATAGGCCTATCCTGGTAGGATCTGATGTTGTCTTCTTCCATTGAAACTACAGATGAACCTGTATTAGATATCACTGGGATTATGTACAGGGAAATGAAATGTTCCTTCACCTAATCAAGTTGTGTCTCTGAACATAAATTTATCCTAATTATTTTAATCAAAAGAATCAGATTTTACCAATTCAATACAGTTATAAAATACTGAATTTTGAGTGACATTCTGAACAATTAGTTGAACAGACAAAGATAATGCTTGGATGTTACAATAACAGAGGGTTTGAATACAACAGCGTGTTTGAAAGCCTCAGCTGGAAACGATCAATATCCTGTCCGGTTCCTCAGCAGAGTTGTCACAGTGTGCACTGGGCACAGATTACCAGGCTGAAAGGGTACAGCAGGTTTGGGGGAATTTCAGCACGAATTTCACATCTCATTGCTGCTGGCAATGGGCTCTGCAGAGGTGAAACAGTACTACAGCTTTTCCAAGTCAGGCAGGAATCAGACACCACTTGCGGAGTATCTGGAGTGGTTGAAAAGAACCCCAGGGCATTCATGTTCGGAGATAAACATGAATAGTTCATCAGGAATAGCACAATAAGCTCCCCTTGGCTAAGCAATGATGCACCAGCTCCCACCAAAAGTCTTCAGAAAACACTTTGCTGTCTTTGGCTTCCCTCACTTCCTGCACAGGGTTCCAATAACTGTGAGGTATGGTTTTAAATTTCCCTTCCCTTTTCCTGTATTACATGTTTGTTCTGAGGGATTAAATTTTTTCCTCCTTGATTCAATCAGCACAGAAGAAAAACATGTTGGATATTTTAAATGTAATCCCATTTTTGGAGCAGAATAAAAAGAAATAGGATTAGATTTTTAAGCGCAATTACAAAAACATGTTGAAAAATGTAACCTGTTCACAATATCAGAATCTGTTTCTTTTTAAGCACATTCAGATTTCAAATGTGAGTAGTTTTTGAAAAAGTAATCCACTTTGAAGTGAAGTAATCAGATTTTTCATGTAATCCGTTTATTCTTTGTAAGTAATACATTTTAAACATAATCTAATTATGACCCTGGGAAATAACTGATTTTAAAGTAATTTTAAAAATATAATCCTGGGACAGATTCTTGGGGTTTGGTGTTGGTCTGTGTTGGGCTTTAAACAGATCTGGCTAGATTGTCCCCTGCTCTCGTGGTGCAAATGGCTCATTTCAGCAGGGAAGGGCTGGCTCAGGAGGGCTGGCTCTGCTGCAGTCACAGACTGCGTGTTGGTCTGTCAGACTTGCCAACGTGTTACTGCGGTTTTGTAATGACACAAAACCTGAACCTGACCAGGAAGAAAAGGAAGAAACAAACAGATGAATCAAAACATTTGTGTTTGCAATGTGTGCAGGAGTCCCAGCTCTGTCTCACTGCCCAGGGTTTAAGCGACCAAATAAAGCCTCTCAGTTGGTCCCTTTGAAGTCCAGGCTGGGCTCAAATTCAGTGGTGTGCACTTGTCCTGCACTACTGATTTGAGGAATTACTGAGTCAACCAACTGATATTCTCTGTTTCTTTAAAACATAACTCATTCTTTCTGCTGGGCACTGGGACTGATGTGCTGCCTGCC